GAACTCGTACTCATTTTACCACGTTTTTATAAAATTGCTTTCTTTTTTAATTCATATTAATTGGAACAAATTTGCATAAATATGTATAAGCACACTATTTTGTTTGCTCGATTTGTAAACAAAGCTTCTCAGCGGTGAAACATATACTATTGTGAACAACCTAAACGAGCGAAATTCACAATAGCGCTATTCTTCATCCAATGAGCGCCATAATACCAAATGAAAATTCGTTCGCTCAGCACTTTCGACCACAGTCGAAAATCGAATGCAACTCATAATAGGGGCCTATATGTAAGGCAAATGTTATGCAGTGCACAACAAGCATTTAAAATTTTTACTACTTTTTCGGGTGTATAATGAAGCTCTCTTCCAGCAAGTAGGCAACGAAAGCGACCTTTTAAAATTCCAAACACTCGTTCTATTATCGATCGCGCTTTGGTAAACCTTTCATTATATAACATTTCTGGAGAATTTTCTTCTGCGTTACGGTAAGGTGTGAGGAGCCATGGATCTAATGGATATCCAGAATCACCTTGAAAATAGAAGATAATGCATGCAAATTTGTAAAAACCGGTACGTTTTGGAATATAAAACAGATTATATAAGAGTTTGTTACAGAGTACTGTGCTACTAACAGAATTTTTACACCATATGCATTTACATATGTAAATGCTGCTTTTTTGTATGTACTCGTATGTACCATATATTACATTGTATCACAAAAGTAGCATTTACATATGGAAATATATATCGTGTAAGATTGCTTTAAGTGATACAAGTACATATGGATAAAGTCACCTACCAATTATCCAAGATGATTTGTCTCCATTTTGGTATTGGGCTTTCATATGTTGTCGTTCGTTTGACAAGCTCCATACATGAGAATCATGAGCCGCTCCACCATAGACTCCATTCACAGCTCTTATGTACATCTTGTGATCACAAATCTAATCAAAAAATGTTATGAAATGGTATGAACAAAAACTTGTAAGTATTAAAAACTTACCGCCATTGCATTGATGCTATGCTTTAGCTTCCGGTTAAAGAACAGATGTTCATCCTTTATCCAGATGGTTAGGATATGGGTTCCATCAACAGCACCTATTATTCCTGGTAATCCAAATTTTGAGTAGAAATGGTTTTTGGATTCACGCTTTTCTTGCACGGTCATTTCAAATTTTATGTGCCTCGGACATAAAGTTTTTTCAATCGCATTGACTACTTCCGTGATACATTTAGAAGTCGTGGATTGCGCTAATCCTGCAAAACGGTCTTGCCCTAGTTGGTGCTGATAGCCTCCTGGTCCCAGAAATTTTAGAGTAGCAGCAAGTTTTACTGTCGGAGTTACTGC